ATTTGCCAACCACAAACCAGTGACATGGGGAGATTCACTTGCCAGCTACTTTAAAAGGAAACATCGAAATAATGGACTGATGGGACAAAACACCATCATGACCTTCAGCTGCAGAATGTGACACCTTAAAGTGTATCTCTACCCAAAACTTTTATTTTGAAGAATGGAATAGAATAGAATAGAATGGGCAAATGTTAGAAAACTGTAAGGTCCATGGCTCTTTCAAAGAGATTTCCCCTCACTTTCTGTTCTGGGGATATTTTACCAGACAGAAAGTGAGGGAAAATGTCCACCAGGGAGACAGACAACAGTAAAAAGATAACAGAGGTTCTAGTATTCTCCGACGTAACGTAAAGAAAAAAACATTTTTACTTCTATCTGTGGTTCTGTTAGAGAGATTTCCCCCTACTTCCTATCCTGGGGACAACCGTTTTACAAGAGAGGGAGTAAAGGAATCTTTACAACGGAGTCTCCAATTGCAGTAAAACTTGGCAGTGATCTAATTCTTCCTCACTCTACCCAGAAGGATATAACAAAGGTTTTGGATATAGATCCATTTTAAGGTAAATTAGGGCATCTTAAGCACTGCCAAGTGAGCGCATTGAGTTTGTGTCCTGAGTAGTATAACGTTTTAAATGATCATTATGTCTGTCAAGCTGCTACTTTGGGGCAAAAGCTATGAGCATTTTAGAAACAAATCTCTGTGTTCGACATACCTGAATGTAGTTTATTACATTTGGAGTTATTATGGTCACAGAACTTTTATTGATGTGTATAGTAACCCTGGGATCATCCTTGTCACCAAATAAGCTCTTTTTACCTTCTGGTAAACCAAAGCGCAGAGCAATATACAACTATGTATGTTTAAATAATCTTAAAAGAGATGTTCCCTATAACAATGGTGGCCATGCTTTGTGAACTTACTCTACACATTAGGCTCAATTCAAATGGTTAAAACACCAGGATAATGATCCTTATTTTCTGCTGAAAGCCGAGAGAGATTTGAACATTGCGTTTACATGCCTGAAAATGAATGAAAGCTCCTTATCCTTATGTTAAAGCTTTGTCAATTGAGGTTAATGCATGTAATAAAAATACAATTGTTTTCTGCAGTGTAGTATACACAGAATCCTAGAATTCATTTTGTTCCATATGTTCCACAAGATACTTTCTTTAAAATCAAGCATATTCCTTCAAGAATCTGCAGTTTCACATTTGATAGTTCCGGTTGTGTTTCATAGGATATTGCATCACTTTGTCCACAATTTGACTGCTGCTACTTACCAAGAGGAACAGTGGACAGATTGCCACCCAACAAATCCTCCAGTACCAGCCAGGAGAAAAACCTATCATTTCCTTGATATCTCTGCAGAACTTATTGATACCTGCAACACAACAGAAGTAAAGTCTATTTACTGGCAGTAATATCTAACCTTATAATTGGCTTCATGAACAAGGAGCCACACCAATTCCATTAGTATAAGAGGTCATAATGTTTACTAAAATCTGCTTAAATGGAAAGAGATGGGCCAAGCTATAACCCTTTGTCCTACAATCTATAACTATACTACCACAAAGAAGAAACAAACTATGATGGCTGACAATGAACTGCTATTTTTTGCATTTTGTATATTATAATTGTCCTTTGCACTTAAAAATAAATGCTGTAAGGATCAGAAAACAGATATAATACAATAGAAACAACACAAACAGTACACATGCAAAGGACACATATTCTACCTACCATAAAACCAGGACACTGCTATGGCTTCCAGGAATACTACAGTTAGCACAGCTGGGCCAGTGGCGTACTCCTCAAACAACTTCACCATGTAAGCACCACCCTGAAAGCAAGACACACAGGCTTTATATATCACAATGTCATTGCAATGGTATCATTTCTAGCAGCAGCCAGTCAGAATGAAACCTACTATAGAAAATCTCATTTGGGATATGAAAGTTGAACCTAATTGCTGGTTGTGAGGAACAGGGCGGTCCCTAAATAAGGCCCTTTCTGGCCAGAGCATCCCAGGTTTTTAACCTGTGATGCTCTAGCCGGTGTCCTGCCCAGCTCATTGATGTCACTGGTTCCCAGGAGCTGAGCGGAGCTCTAACAGGCTGGGTGGGATGCCGTGCACCACAAGAAACCACTACCCCCTCTCCAAAATCAGGAACATCCACAACGAGCCGCCATTGAGGAACGCACACCAAGAGCAAGTGTATAGTAGGTCCCTTTTAAAAAAACATAAATTCACAAAATGTTCTGTTCAAGAGAGGTGGCCTTAAGTTAGCAGAGGATATAAGCCTGTGGGCTCCTGTACCTGACACATCATGTGTAACCATGACATGACAGACTGGCAAAGCTTCATCAAAGAGAGAATATACTGTCTGTCACTGCCTCTTACTGGGTTAGCTCAAAGGAGGCCTGTCAAGAAAGACATATTGGGGCTGATTTGTTGGTAAACATGCAAGCTTGGGGCTATCTACTTTTTCCTTACTTCATTACCTAATGAGCCACTGACCTGGAACAAGCATGCAGCAGCAAACCTGGTATGTGCATATTCATTCAAATTCATTAACCTCACTCTGTTGTTTTCTCACCTTTAAAGGGAATCTGTTGCTATTTCTAACATGTAACATATGCCTTCCTGCACAGCAATCAATACTTTCTTGTCCCACTGCTGGCATCTCCAAACTCCGCTGGGCTAAAGATAGGAGCTTGCTCAAAGATCATCTGCATTGGACGTTGTGTTGGATGCTGGCATCCCCTGTGCTCTGTGGTTTCCTATGCTGCCCCTACATCGCTACAGGACACAGGGGCTGGCGAAAGGAACCACAAGGCAGAGTGGAACCAGGACCCAGGCATCCAACAATCCTGGAAGTGTGCTGGATGCTGAAGATCTTTTAGCAAAATGATCTCTTCAACCCAGCGGAGCTTATCAGCAGCAGGACAGGTAATAGCTTACTTTGCAGGAAGACATTTGCAGACATCCCAACTCTCCCAGGGTTCTGGCAGTCTCCCGCTATGAGATAGCGGCTCCCGGACACCCGCGAGAGAAACATTTTATCCCGGAAAGGTTTACTCTGCTCTATCTTCTTGGTGGTTCTACTGCCCTGGCCGGTCTACGTCACTTCCTCGTGGCCGCTGTCTAAATACAAAGAAAAAAAAACTGCAGATGCCAGGGGACGCATTAGCTCCCTTGCTATCTGCTGATTCCCCTGATGGCCGCCAACAAAATATAAAAAAAAAAACAGGATATAGCAGGGGCACCTCCCTGAAGTGAGTTTTTGCAGGTTGGGATGGTTGCATTTGTTTCATTATGCTGATTCAAAACCTGTGGGATTTCTAGGCCAGTAATATTGGTAAATTGGGAAAATGGGGACATGTGAACATTCAGGTTTCCTTTTTAATGTGGTTGATTTAAACTCTCAAGAAATTTGCATAACACAACTTAACACCATTATCGATATGATTTGTAGTAACAACAGTATAGGTATTCTAAGGTCCATGTTTACAGCAAACACATCAATGAGAGATGAAAACGAATGGATCGCTATGGGTAAATGCACTTTAAAAGAAAGAGTTAAAACCTTATCCCAGGATGCTATAAATAACTCTGCTTGGCACTGGGCGCATGTGGACAAAAAGGGAAACTTGGCAGTCTTAAGTCAAATTAATCGGCTCAAATTGAACTTCAAGTGTTTTTCTGTGTGAGAGAAAGTTCTCCAGGTTATTAAAAGAAACACCGAGTCCATGAAGTTTCACTCATCTGTTTACCAATGTTCCTCTCCATACACAGGTTGGCCATGCTTAAAAATGCTAATAAATGATAAAACCAGATACAGTATATCTCAGTGATTCACAGAATTTCATACTTACAAACGTTAGGGTGGAAAGAGCCCCGAGGTAACAGACCACAATCAAAAGGAAGACAAAAATTTCCCGCCGCTTGCCCCAAACATGTGGGAACTCATCCAGAACGGCAGTTATAACCCCTTCCAGACCTGCAAACTGTACACAGAAAAAGAACATGGAAAATAAACAAATCTGTGAGATTTAATTACAAGTGTGAGCTTAATCAAAAGGATGGTCTGATGGGTTGATTCGCTCCTGACTTCTGGATTTGACACAGCAGAGTTCCAGAGACTTTCCTATTTCTCTTTGTGTAATTTTTCATATATAAAATCCAGCAGGGAGACTGGAAACCCCTCGTAAAGGCTGTTACAAATGCTGCCCCCAGGAAGTTGCTGTCTATGACAAGATATTTATATTACTACTTACCTTAGAACAGGAATAACACTAACCCTCACATCCATAACAAATTATTCCTTATGTTCAATAGTGTTTATGTAGTGTTTGTGTGAAACTGTGTTAATAGTACCCAGGGCCTTCCCTATAATGAGGCAGCATGAGCCGGTTGCCTCCAGTTGCATCTCATTAGGAGGTGGCAGGTGTGTGGGGGGGGTGGCCACGGCGTCATAGCTTTTAGCAACCTGTGACGCGCTGTCCTGCCAAGCTTCTGGCAACTAGTAACATCAGTAAGCTGGGTGTGACGCCACACAGAGGAGCCCACAACCATTAAAGCCCAATTATTCCTATTCATTTATTACTGTAACGCAATCAGGATGCATATACAGTAATAAATATGCATCCTTTTTTATTTTTTAAAGTAAAGAAAAACCCTGTGCTGGCACCATCAAGAAGCAGCACGGCTCTCCAACATGTCCCCCTGTACAATGCCTAATCATCAGTGCTGTCCAGTGCAAGAGAGTGATGTTGATTAGAGCAGTGTTCACTGGGGTGTGCCGGACCACAAGAGAGCTTGTGTGAAAGAGCTGCAGTCCAGTCTGATATTTCTATCTGCTGGCAGCACAGGGATTTTTTAACCCTCACTGCACAACTTAGCTTATTAAAAAAAAGTTTAGAAAGAGCTATATTTACTGTATATGAAGCTTGAATGCATTACAGTAACATATCAGAAGGATTCAATTGGGCTCCATGAACTGTGCTCTTCTGTACCTCAATGCTAAATATTGCCTACATTAACTATCATATAAACTCCTGTAGTTGTTCAAAGTTTAGGTAAATACAATTTATTTTTTTACCATTTTGGATAGTAGGGAATGATTAGAGTGCTAAAGTTAAAGTGTGAATTCCCTTGTTCAATAGATGCATGCCTTGGGTTGAAGGTCATTTGGACCATTGACTTTTCACTGGGGATCGTAAGGTAGGGCATCAGCAGTTGATGAAAGTAGAAAAATGCTTTAAGGCAGAAAGGCTGAACTGATGAACCTAAACAGTGTAATGTTCCTTTGATGTAAGTTGTTTACTCACCGTACTGTCCAGCCCCAATGTAATCAACATCAGGAAGAATATGACAGCGAAGAAGGTGGATGCTGGCATATTGGCAATGGCCTCTGCATAGGTGATAAATAGCAGACTGGGGCCTGGAGCAAAAAGAAATAAGAACTGTAATCTCATCCTGCATGCATCAATGCATTTACAACAGCTGTAAGTTTCTCAATATAACACATACCATAGGGGTCCTTTATGAAAGAAATTCTGAATGAAAAATAGATATGTTCTCCCTAACAACAGATGAGATGAATGCTTTATTTTCTAACCACACACTTTAAATGGACCAAAACACATCTTTAATTATACTAGGTTGTATAAAGAATCAAACACAACAGTGGTGTAACTAGTACCATAGCAGCCTATCCTACTGTTATTGGGCTCACGGGGTAGGGATGATCAGAGAGATGAAGAACCAGAGCAGACTGGAAAAAAATCTTTCTTTAATTCTTCTCTGGCATGAGCTTGAGAGGCATATCTGTGCCACAGTTTCAGACAGAAGTAGTATCTCCTCTGTGATTCAGACACCAGTAATGCAACATTGTCAATGGAATCAACATAATATGAGCAGCCACACTGACACCAGTGTAAAAGAGGAGGTTGTTACTTTCTGAAAAGATGGCCCTTCTACCTTTGAATGCCAGTGTAAAGAAAGCACTTTCATCTCCAAATGCAGTGTAAAGGGGGCCCTTTTATTTCTGGACGCCAATGTAAAGAGGGCCTTCCACTGAACACTAGTGTATAAGAGCCCTTCAACCACTGAATACCAGTCTATATGAGGTCCATCCAATGTAAAGGGGGTTCTTCCACCACAAAATACTAATGCAAACAGGACCATTCCACTACCGAACACCAATGTTAAGAGGGTCCTCCCACTAATGAAAACCAATGTAAAGGGGATCCTTCCACCATTAAACTGCAATTTAAGGGGCCCCTTCCGATACAGAACAGAGTGTAAAGGAAGCCTTTCAACCACTGAATGTCAATGTAAAGAGGGTGATTCCACAATCAAACAGGCTCACTCTATCACTGAACACCATCACCAAGGTGGTTTCTTTTTTACCACTGAATACCAGTTTCAAGGAGCCTGCCCACCACTAAACGCCAATGTAATATGGGCATTTTCGCTACTGAACCACAATGTTTAATGTTTCCCACCACAGCTGAAAGTCAATGTAAAGGAGACTATTTCAGCAATGAATGCCAACATAAAAGAGGCCTTGCTAAAACTGAATGCCAATGTAAAGTGGGCTCCTCCACCAATGAACATCAATTGTAAAAGGATTTTTCCAAAATGTATTAAAGCTCAATTCAAAGAAAGCCATTCCATGGTGAATACAAAAAAGATCACACAAATACGTGTGTGGTTCTATGTCAATACACTCAAAGAAACCAGATTCAATCATGAAAGAGAAAAAGAAACAGAAAACAAGCAATTCCTATGAACTAAATGTCTCATTTTTCAATATATTGTGTTTGAAAATAACATCAGTAATTTAAATAATGTATTATAACAGAAACTACCTACCTACCTACTATATGTATGCTCTGTCTTCCCATTCACACAGCATATTGAAAAATATATATTTTTAGTTGTTTCTTTGGAGCAGGATTCTACACAGGACACTACAGCACATTCCTATCGTTTAAAATAGCTTACAATGTGCAAGTTTTAAAATAAATTAACTTACAATTTACTGTCCAAGCCTTTATATCTTTAACCCTTTGTTAATGAAAGACAGTGTGCACATCTAGTTTACATCTGATAATGGAAATCTGCCAGCACAGTCTGGATAGGGTTAATTATGGTATACATAACTCACCAGACCCTCCTTAACATTACATAGAGGGTTTTTTTTTCCAGCAGGTAAAAAGCAAATTCAGTTTAATTAGCAATTTTTAAATATGTTTTTAAAGGTATGCTGTGTAAATGGGAACAAAAAATATTTATATAAAGTAGGTGTTATCCCAATTTGGCTGCAAAAGTGGAAATACACTTTAAGAACAATGTGTAAATTAATTTGGAACTTAATATGGGAATCCTAGTTTAGGATAAGGGAAGGAAGAAAAGAAGGAAGGGTACAGCCTGTCCAATTGGGGAGATTTCTGATTACTTGCTGTGTGGTCATAGTAAGTAAGGATGGGCTGCATGTTCGAGTCGAACATAGGTTCGACTCGAACATAGCATGTTCTAGCGTTCGCTGAACGCCGAAGGTTCTATACATCATACAGATGCGCCACTTTACGGTCAGTGAAAGGGGACCCCCCTGGCACCATATATAAAGGATTTTTTTATTTTTAAGGTTTCATTTTAAGTGATGTTAAATCCCTGCTCCTTTAAAAATTGTATTTTTTAAAAGTGTTTTTTTTCATTGATACATGTCCCCCAGGGCAGTACCCGGATCCCCATACACTTTTTATGGCCAATTAATTGCATATAAGGCTTCAAAATGGGGACATTTAATTTTCTATTTCTACCCCCATAGACTTGCATTGAGTTCTAAGTTCGAATTAGAACTTTTTCCATGTTCGAAAGTTCGAGTTAGAACCGAACATGGGGGTGTTCGGCTCATCCCTAATAGTAAGAATGGATTCACACAAGATGCAGGAAAGGATCCACAATCCAAACTTTTGAAGTAGGGGGTCTGTCAGAAATAGTAGTGTAATGAATGGGCAGATCACTGCAAATAAGTCAGTGTGGCACCAGCAAGCAGGGCCTTCCCTAGATGTATCACTACCTGAGGCTGCGGGGGCAGGGAGTGCGGTGCTTTTAATGGCCAGAAGCTGTGCGGGGCTCCACCAAAAGCGTCCTGCGAAAGGGTGGGTGACAGTAATTGGAGTAGGGGCTTACTCTGCCCAGAGATATGATACAAGTAGAGCTATGGCCTCACACTAAAAATATGTGCTGCTGCACTTAATTATAAGTGCATCTGCACTTAAATTTTTCTATTAGTCCCCCTGGAACGTCCTACAAATACCTGTTGATCCTACCAATGAAATCCACCTTATGCAGCTTCATGTGATGGGGTGCCAATAATGCTGCACTGTTCCTAAATTCAGAGCAGAGTTGCCCCTCTCATGTAGGCTGTGTGTGCTTGCACTACAGATGGATGAGGTGATGTTGCAGGGGGTTTGGCTATCTGCATTTTCATTTCTGATTTTTAGGCATGTGGCTTGTCAATCAATATATGGTCGCACTTAGTATAGCCCACTGCTTTTAACAGCCTTGCTATTGTTGCTGATACTCCACGGTGAGCTGTAGTGTCTGGACTAAAACACAAATGAAGGATGTATTGGCTCTGTCAAGGAATGCTTGTGCATCACATAGTAACTGGATTTGGTACTTATAAATGCATGTATTACACAGTGGTATTATTTTACAGTACAGATTTTTTACTATAATATTTCTTAAACCGGCTTCCACTCACCGGATACATACATAATACACCCATTCCTGTCATCTACGTGACCTGCCTATTGTGACCAAATTATCAGTCTGCAGACTGCAGGGGAAATCAAAAGCTGAGATATTTTCTGCAGAGTCTCGGCCAGTTTCCTCTTGGTCATGCTACAGGCACACTAAGAAATCCACGAAAGCTGTTTAACATAATGTTTCACCCAAAGTCATAAGTTACTCAGAGGCGCCAACAACTGATAATGTTGACTCATCTGTAGAGGACACTTGTCAAGAGTTCAGTGCAAAGTTGATAGAAATGAGGCACTAAAAGTCTGATCTGAGCAATCCCAGCTGTAGCCAACTCCAGCACATTTACAATCACTTACTGACAGAATATAACATAGTCAGTCTCCATTGTTGTAGATATAAATATGTGAGTGTGGTCAGGTTAAAGGAATTCTATCAGTAGAGAAATATTTGTGTTGCCATTGCAAACCTCTACCTGTCATGCTCACCCTCTAGTATCATTACTGTCGAAGTCACTGGGCTTGATTTACTAAGAGAGCAGAGAATGTTACTTTGGTCATCCAGTTATATGCGACCCATGTGCTGCTTTTTTCCCTGCATATTATTGTGTACTGAAAGTGAACAGACGCACTTTATTGATTAAAGTTTATATGAAAGTGGTCTAAAAAAAGATGAAGATTTGCTACCTTTAACATCTTCTAACATGTTACTTGTGCCTAAACAATACCCTAAAAATCTACCCTTTGTTTTAAATTCCTCCCAAAAAATAGCAGCGCTGTTCCTTTGCCTAGAGACTAGGAGCCGTATATCTGTAGTGTGATATTATCTAAGGCACTGCTGCCTTTGACTGCTAGTCATACCAGATTTGGAATGAAATTTGGTGATGTCTTGAGCGTGCTGCTCAATGTTCCGCTTCCTGGAGAGGAAGCTGTACCTGGGCACCTGCAGTGCAAGCATCACCCTACTTCTGCTTGATTCATTCTGTGGATTTGTGCTTATTACACTTTTACTCCTGCTTCTTGAAAATTCCCTCACCAGGCATCAGATCACCATTCATTACAAGGCAGTTCAGATATGAGGAAATAAAGCCCTGCTCCTCTACCAAGATGACCACTACTATACAGAAACACAGTGCAGAGCAAGGAATAGTAAATCAATAATGGGGGCAAAGAACAAGCATGCTATAAACGGCTGTAAGAATTCTTCATCTCTATACTTGTTTCAGGTCAGTAACTTGAATAGTGATGAAACCAAAGTATCAACAGGAAAGCCAGGTGACTAACACTGTCAAAAGGAGAGGTCAGCAATGGTAGCCTGCATAGGTTTCTCATGACAGCTATATATTTACTTTGTAAAGTGAACATTATCTAATACTTTAGTGAATCAACCCCTTTTACTCAGAACAAACATTCAATGAGAAATCAGAACCTGTATACTTGTTCTGGGGATTTACAAGACTGGTTAGTAGCTAATGTTTTTTGGAGAACGAAAGAGGATGCACACTTGGAACACGGAATGTTATAATTTTTTGGGGGGGAGGGGAGGGGGGGGCAAATTCAGTGGACAGCTTTGCAGCAACATCAGGGATTAAAGGCCCACCAAATGAACCTTGGTATTAGTAAGTCAGAACCAGACACTGAATTCAGTTATTGTGGTAAGTGGGAATCCAGTGCAGAACCCCTATCCAAGACCCCAGCTCTAAAAGGGAAGAGTTAAAGGCTTTGGAATTCAGGTCATTTGTGCACTATACATAAATATTAATTAGTGTTATAACACATCTTATGTACTAGCATGTGTGTGTTCATTCCGCATGCTCACAATATTCATGCTCACACCACTAATTCAAATTACACTAAACATCCATGAAAACTGGACAACTGGTATGGTGTTAGAGTTTTTTTTTTGTTTATTCATAAATATTTAATGTTTAAAATACAATTTGCATTTTGTTACTCTGCAGGGCATTCCTGGATATACTTTCTGCCCAGGAAATTAATTTAGCTGATGAATGAGAGGATGTTGTTTATCTCATTAAGGACAGGGCTGGAGGTTTCTTTTCCCGGTTTTGGCAAGATATGAGAAATAGTTTGCAGTTCAATGACTGATGTGATGCTCAGCCATAATGACACGAAAATGTGCAGAGTAAGCCATTACTAGAGTCGCTGCCTGGGATCCTTCATAGGACTATAGTCTGCTGTTTACTGTCACCCCCCATTCCTCTTCCTGAGCCCAGAAAAGAAAGTGGCACATGAATATATCATAGACATGAAGAGGAAGCTGCTCTCATTCCTTGTTGTCTTTGTCCTCTCATACTTCTGCAACTTAATGCTTCAGGCCTGGCACCGCACAATAAGGTGCGCATCTGCCATCTTGGCTTCCTCCCATACGGGATGGCATTCCCATTTACAGATGAGTGTTACAGTTGCAATGGATGGATGTATTGGGGTTGATTTACTAGAGGATTAGAGCATGTTTACTACCAAAGTGAAGTTTCATTTATCTTAGTTAATGAGGTGAAACAAAGTTAAATATAACTTTGCAAAGAATACACAATCATGTGCAAGGAAAATTTAAAAAACTGAACTTTTGCTTGTATATGACTGGATGATTAACTCGTCTACACCATCCATACACATATATGTGGCAGCAGAGTGGTGGGCTTTATGCCATGCTGTTATCTATATGCATACAGGCATTTCCTTATGCTAAGAGCTCTTAGCAACCTGTGATGCTCTTTGTTTTTCTGCCCAGCTTACTGACGTTACCGGTTGCCAAGAGCTGAGCGGAACGCTCTGGATTTTGTCCCGCTAAGCTCCTGACAACCAGTGACGTCATTGACCTTGGCTGGATGCCAGGGTCTGACGCCTGCCCCCGACAAATCAGCACAACAACTGCACACATTACAGCACATTGCTTGCGGCGTATATCTTAGGGACAGACCTGTGTGAAGGAAAACTGTTTTGTGGATCATGTGTCCCCAGCAATGTGACTGTGCTGTCATCGACAGCTCACATTCACTCAGTGAGGATGAGAAGCTGTTAGGACTAGGATGCACCAAAATTTTGGCAGACAAAACATTTTGGGCAAAAATGCTACTATAGGCGAAATGCTAATATTAAAAAAATCGTCTCGAAGCTTCAGTCTGTGTCCCCTCCGATCCTCACTGCTCTCCCCCACCTGTGTTGGCAGAGGCAGCGGGGATTGGAGGGGACACAGAGCCGATCCAGCTGCCGGCCCCCAGCGGGGAGGAGAGAAGCTATCAGGGCTGTTAAATATTTGCTGATCCTACCGGTAGTATGTACTGCTCAAACATCGGTGTGATCAGGTCTGAACTTCAGTGCCTGGTCTCTACTGAACAACTTTGGGATGAATTGAAACATCAATTAGAGCCAGGTTTTCTTGTCCAACAACAACATCTGAACTCTCAAATGCTGTTTTCACTGAACGGACACAAATTCACAAAGACACACTATAAAATCTTGTAGAGAAGCCTTCCCAGAGTAGTGGAGGTTGTTATAGCCACAAATGAGAGGACAACTCCATATTAGTGTCCATGGTTTTGGAATGGGACGTCCAACAAAATCATAAAGAAGTGAAGGGCAAAGTGTCCACAAACTAAATATGAAATAAATAAATAAATAGTAAAGTGTCTAAATCCTGTATATATGGTATCTGAAAACAGAATTGTAGCTTCTAGTGAAAAACATTTTGCTAATATTTGTAGCTAAAATGTGTGTAACTACACTGTCTGGCCAAGAAAAAAGTCACCACCTATATTTCCGGCAGTTTTTGTGATTTGGGGTTGCTTCAGTTGGTCAAGTCTGGGTTCACCATGGGTTCACCATGTCCCCAAAAAATGAGATTAGCGGCCTACCTGAATAAACTGAATGACCAGGTTTTTCCATCAATGGTTTTTTTCTTCTCTGAGGGCATATTGGGCATATTCCAAGATGACAATGCCAGGATTCATTGGGCTCAAATTGTGAAAGAGTGGTTCAGGGAGCATGAGACATCATTTTCACTCATCGATTGGTCACCACAGAGTCCAGACCTTAACCCCATTAAGAATCTTTGGGATGTGCTGGAGAAGACTTTACACAGTGGTCTGACTCTCCCATCATCATTACAAGATCTTGGTGAAAAAAGAATACAACTCTGGATGGAAATAAATGTTGTGTCATTGCATAAGCTTTTTGAAATGATGCCACGGCACGGCGATGCAATGTGTGCCGTAATCAAAGCTAAAAGCGATCCAACAAAATAGTGTGTGACTTTAGAATAACAATGTATTTCTAGCTCAGTGTGGATTTCTGTACTTTATTGTGCTGCAATGTTAGACTGTGTAAAAACATTTTACTCTAGTAATTGAAATAAATGAAATGCAATATATTGTATAAAAACACGGTGGGTTATTTAATTCACCTACAGGACAAAAAACATTCTTGCCCTTGTTTCATACAAACTTACAAAGATTCCCTGATCACGTCAATATCAACCAATGGATTATTAAGTGCAATGCCTCAAACCCAGCATACCTGTGTCTTTGGCCACTTCGGAGACTTCCAGGTTCCTCATTTCAGCCATATATCCCAAGACAGTGAATATGACAAAACCTGACATAAAACTGGTCATACAATTCACAGTGCTCGTCACCAGTGCATCTCTGTGAATTACAGAAGGGTGAGATTTTAAAGGTTTTATGTGTGATTGATAATGTTTATAGTGATCATGTAGAAAAGTGTTGTGCATAATAACCAGCCAGATTAAATTTGTCATGCAGATTACTCTAATGTAGATTATACACTGTTATACAATGCCATAACATTATGATCACCCCGCTAATATTGAGTAGGTTCTCCTTTTGGCGCCAAAGCAGTCCTGACCCGTTGAGGAATGGACTCCACTAGACCTTTGTATCTGGCAACATCAGTAGCAGATCCTTTAAGTCCTGTAGGTTACCTCCTTCACTTCCCACGGGTATCAATGAGCCTTGGCCGCCCATGACCCTGTCGCTGATTCACCAGTATTCCTTCCTTGGACCACTTTTGGTAGGTCCTGACCACTGCAGACCAGGAACATCCCACAAGAGCTGCAGTTTTGGAGTTGCTCTGACCCAGTATTCTAGCCATCACAATTTGGCCTTTGTCACAGTCACTCAAATCCTTACGCTTGCCCATTTTTTATGTTTCAAGGAAAGGTTCACTTTCTGCCTAATATATCCACCCACTTCCAGGTTTCATTGTAATCAATGTTATTCACTTTACCTGTCAGCGGTCATATTGTTATGGCTGACTGGTGTAAAATTGTTGCTAAACTAATAATCACAATTTCAACCATGTTTTGTGCATAAGGAATATTGTAGCTCTGGGGTAGGTAACCTTGACACTCCAGCTGTGGTAAAACTAAAAATCCTATAATGCATCTGGGAGTCTTGCAATGACTCATGGGACTTGTAGTTTCACCACAGCTGGAGTACTGAGGTTGCCTACCCCTGCTGTGGCTCGTCGGTTAAGAGCCTGATGCAGGAAAAGTGTGGCAAAGGTCAAATATCTTGCTGCCCAAATAAACGTTCAACTGTCATCTTTACAGCTCAAATGTAAAATACACTAAATCAAGAATGATTACTGGTTGCTTTGAGCAACACTTCAGACTAACCCACAGTATATAGATAGGTGAATGAAAGAATTTAATTCATAGCTTTGAATTAGGATAACATAATATATCAAAGCCTAGAACTGTAACTTCCTACAGACAATGAATCAGAAAATCAGACTGGTGAATGCGGACAGCACAAATAGTTCTACCTTCAGAAACCTAGCCATCAGAATCTATATAACCAAACTCGCTTTTTAATGACAAACCCGTATTTTGACTAAGACTAGAGCAATCAAGCAGATTCCATTCTGTAACATTTTGCCAACATAGAGAACTTTTCCACCTTTTATTTTGCTGAATTATAATAAACTCTAATCATGGTTTAATTCGTTCTTTTAAAAGCGCTACAATGAAAAAGGAACTTTACTAATTGTGGCATTTGTATTTTATTTTGCTGTTTACTCTATTTTGCTTGCCACTTAGTCTTCTTTCACTTTATTTTACCCTGTATATTGACCTTTCGTGTCAACGTTATAAACTGAAGAAGAAAAAAAGGCAAATACAAGCTTTAGATAATGCAAAGAACATAAAAAGGGTTCCTTTGATAATTGAGGCCTGCAGGCAGATTATTATATAGTAAACATTGGTTGGTTGCTAAGACTTACGTCTTTACTTTTGGTCCTCTTTTGATAAAATGGTGCGTTCACTGAGCAGATCAGGGACCCGTTATTTATTTAATTCCTGTATTTGTATAGCACAAACACATTACACGGCACTTTACAGGGTAAATGAATCCATTAGTCCCTAAATCTATCTCACTCACTTACTACAACAGGTTTCAGGCAGATGGATGAAAACGTACATATGATACTAACTGGTAGCAGTTGTTGTGAAATTTATTGTAGCTAGCAAAGGCCAGCAACACACCGAATCCCGGGCCCAGCGAGAAGAATATCTGTGCAGCTGCATCCACCCAAACCTAAACAGACATGATAAACAAATGATAATATCAGTACACTACATGTGTATCAATTTGTAGAACAGTATGCTCTATGTATATTACAGATACAATGTAGTAGAAGACAACAGGATTCATTAAAAGAATCGTAAGCATAGGTTGAGTGTAACTGTATGTAAACGAAATACAACGGCGGGCAACAAGGTGCCCCTAAATGCAAAATGAAGCTGAACTCCAGTTTAATGCACCTATGTGTTCCTTTAAAAATGGCACACGACTAACATAGGTGCCTGGATTTGTCTTGCTATCTCCATCATCCCAGCAGCCTTTGGGCGGGGAGGTGACACCACTTAACTATAACTGGGAAAGTGGTGCCACCCTCCTAACTGTGTAGTCTGGCATGTATGCATCACAAAAGTGGCTGGACAAATTTACAAACCCTTTGGCACATTAGACATTTCACATTACAGCTGTATATTTAGCTGTTTGTCTGGAGATCAGCTCTAAATGAGCCATAATGTTAACAACATTTTGATATTACTAAAATCTTAATTATCCCAATGATTGCAGATTGCAGGTTGTATAAGAAGAGTTGGCGGTTACAGCTTTCTTGTTGTTATTTCGAATAAAGTTCATGGGTTGTTACAGTCAAAAGCAAGAGATGGAAGGCTAGGCTATGGCAGGAAAAAGCAAGGAAATAAAACATTATAAAAGGGTGGGGGCTATCAGGAAGAGGTCAGACAGATGACATCTGACCTGCTTTTTTTTAGTAATCTGGAGTAGGATACCATGGGAGACCAAACACATAGGACCTTGCTGTGGGTGTCAAAATCTTTAATAACTTTACATTAACCACCCCACCTGATATTTATTAACTACACACATTTATATAGTGTTAATAATTTATATCAGTACCTGCCCTCAACGAGCTTACATTGTATGGTCCCTAGCTCATATACATACAGGGACCAATTAACCTACAAGAATGTCTATGGAGTGTGGGAGGAAGCCCTCGCGAGAAAAGGGAGGACATTCAAACTCCATACAGATACTGTCCTGGCCAGCATTCAAAGTGAAGACCCAAGTGCGGCAAGGCAGAAGTTCAGAGTTATGATTTGCCCTGGTATAGTAAAAATGCAACTGATGAGTTTGCTTGTGGCCTTACACACTCTTGATAGGCTTGTCGAGGAGAATTTCATAGGGGTTGTCAGCAAAGATTACACTGAAGAATGGTGTTGATACACTTACTGCAGAATTCCTTCCAAGAGCACGTGGAAGGCTATTATCACACCAGACAATTCTACTGGAATCCATATAAAAGAGGGAAGCACTATAAGATATCAATCTACTGCATCAAGGAGGACCTATGAAGGTATCTCTAAAATGGGCATGGAGGAATGGTAAGGGGTCATGACAAGCAGTCCAAAGCCCCCCGGTGTTGCTGCTACAGTGTGCTTTTGTTAATTCTAGGTCTCAAGATTCTCCATATAAGCCACTGATTTTTGTTTTGAACTATTCTGAGAATATAGCTATATGATTTTATCCCAGTAGGGTGAACAAATAGCGATTTTTAGTGGAGAATATATTTTACAGAATATATTTAGACATAAGGTAAATCACTGTTTTCATATATAGGGGCTTAGTTTGTAGAAAAAATAATACACTGTGCAGAATGCAATAACCAACACCAGCCAATTATAATTGATAGGGATGCACCGATATATCGGCCACCGAAACATATCGGCATAATGCCGAAAGTGCCATTTTCTGGCCGATACAGCGGTACATCCATTCTTTCTCTCCTCCCCGCTGGGCGCTGCTCTGTGTCTCAGCGGGGAGGAGAGAAACTGTCACAGGCGGCCGAGAGCTGCGGGAGGAGAGCGCTGTGAGCAGTCGGCGTCTCTCCTCCCCGCCTCCTGTCGCAGATCAGAGGAGAGCAGTGTGGACGGAGACAGCCAGCGCTGTCACAGGAGGCTGAGCTCCGCTCGCTCAGCCTTCTGTGACAGCTGTCAGGAAGGACAGCGGGTACAAGCAGTCAGTGATCAGTGATCGCTGAGTGTAAATAATTGAGGAAATATTAAGGCTGCTATATCCTCAATTATGAATGAATGGGAAGTGATCTGCATCTCCTCCTGTTCATTCATGATTGTGGTTATAGTAAACATACTCTGTCCTCATGTTATGAATGAACAGGGACACTTATAGAGGATTCCTGTTCATTCATAACAGGGGCTGCAGAAAAAGAGATTGAAGAGATTGTTCTCAATGTGTTTTTCTATTTTAAAAGGGAAATATCAGGGGTCTGTTTAGACCCCTAATATTTCCCCGAAGCCTCTAAAAGTAAAGTAAAAAATAAAAATATTTAATAAAAAAAATGAATAAATAAAAATAAATATAAAAAAATTAAAAAGTTTATAAAAAAGAAATAAAAATAAAATATTTGAAAAAGTTAAAATAAAAAGCATTTTTGGCCTGACATTTTTAAAAATTTTGGTTTAGTTTTTAAAATTTTCATTTAGGTACACCTCTAATAATTGATATTTGACTTCAGTAAACCATCATCTAGTTTGTTACTATGGGTTATCACAACCTAATGTTGTTAGTTTTGTTGGACATGAACTGTTTGCATATAACAGTGAGAAAAAGTAGAATGCATTCAGCTTGTACTGTGAACTGAATGGTCTTTATTTTCTAATATCAGATTAGGATTCCAATAGAATACTGCCCCCTGTGGTCACATTGCAATACTGCTGGCTTAATGTTGCCTACTAAGACATAACTCACCTTGTATACAGAGAGATATATTTTATATATTTTTCTTTAAATTGTATTATTAGATTAGAGTGCAACTGAACCCAAATCTTTTTTTTTCTAGTTTTGAATATCGTGAAGAGAGATTAGAGCCCCTGTCCAGTTTTTATTGCTATGTGTGTCCCAGATAGAGAGATATTCCCTCTCTATTTGTATTGGTGACCATTATTACTGAAAGAGAAAGTGGAAGAAAATCCCACATTTTGGGTTGTCACCAGAACCGGAATAGACAAGAAATCTTCCAATGGGGCTACTAGTTCTGGTGACCCTGCCGAGCACCAGGGATTTCTCTCGCTTTGGAGAGATTTACTCTCACTTCCACTTGTTGCTCTTGGACAGGAAGTGAAGGGAAATCTCCCCAAGGGGACGCATGTGTCAAAAAAAACTGACAGGGGTTATAACCCTCCCTTACTGTATCCAAAACAAAAACAAAAGTTTGAGCTTTAGTTCTATTCCAAATGAATGCTGCACCCTGTGGCCAAATTGTCATACTGCTGGCTCTATGATACCTGCTTTTACCAAGTTTAATAGGTATCCCACTGCACTCCTTACCGGCAAGCCACTTAAGATGGGTGCTGAAATGACTGCGGATGGTGCCACTCAGATCAACATAGGAAACAGGATGTCACCAGCACACAGAAGATATGTGTCCAAGCAAACGTCTTTTATTGATGCATATTGTCCCCAGAATGGCAACGTTTCAGGGCACGCAGCGTCCCTTCATCAGGCTCAATATGACGTTTGCTTAGACACATATCTCCGGTGTGCTGGGGACATCCTGCTACTTACTTTTACCAAGACACAACTGAACAGTCTGTACTGTCTCTAAGTATGCGTAACTAAATAAACTATTAAACTGTTCCTACAAAATAATAGCTATCTGTGAATTGTCACCAGCAACCCATACTGAAAGAAAATATGAAATAGATCCATGCAAGATGCATTATAAATTGCCTATTGCCTAATAAGTGCCTTATTAGAATAAGTTTAAATGTTAAATGACATGCTGTCATTTTCTTATATTATATGGAGCAACTGTCCCCATTTGTAACACACAAATTATTCCCTTACAGACTGTGCTGTCTATCTATATCAGTCCGAGCAGTGCTTGTCTGAAACACCCAGTGTGTTCAGTCTGCTGAAAGCATGTCTGATAAAAGTGAAATCATTCCCAAGAGGCAGCTGTGTGACAGGACTTACTCAAGGCAAGATTTCAATGGCATGCCCCCACAGGCCACTTATCCTGCACTGCCCTCATTGTGGTCAGACGGTTCCATGCCCCAGACTATATTCTAGGACTATTGCTTATAGTTATGTATATAGAAATCTTACCTCAGTGGTAAGTAGCTTCTCCCAGTTTGGCTTCAGATAGAATATAACTCCCCTCCAGGCACCTGGGAGCGTGGCCCCTCTTATTAGAAGCAGCGTAAGCACAATGTATGGAAATGTTGCAGTAACCCAGACCACCTACAAAGAAGATATATACATTGATATTTATATATTTTACAATTCCTTCTCTTTTTAGGCAACATTTTGGCCATAATGTTGGCCACATTTCTACTTCAAAATATTTGATGGCTTCAAGAAAACATTAAAATGAACTTCTCTTATTTGCTTCCTTATGGTCAGCTAAATATACCATTGAAAGTGTTATCTGATCAATAAGTCGCACAAACTATCTATTGATTCTGCCAGAAATGTTGTGAGCTGATAACTTCCTGTGCACAGGGAGGGATTACTGAGATCGGGAAGAGGATAGGGAATGGAGGAGAGGGCTGTGTCCTTTGTAATCCAACAGAAATGAAGTAGGCAGGGCTAACACTACTTGTTTAGGATTTTTAGAGCTCATAGGACACGGGTTGATTTACTAAAGGCAAATAGGCTGTTCCCTAATGAATGTGGTGGAAATTCATTTTCCAAATCATGTGCATGGAAAATAATTTTGCTTGCACAGGATTGGATGACGAAAGTCAGTAGAACCTGACCTCATTTACTAAGCTAAGAAAACATTCCCTTCCCAAGTGAGCAGCTTATTTGCCCTTACTAAATCAACCCCACTGTGTTATCAGCTTAAACAGTAAGATAGAAGCACACTATATTTCAGGCACATTAACAGTTATTTTTCTGTACTTGCAGCTCATTTACAGGGACAAAACATGTGGAAATGTGCATGCATTGCATAGATGTACTGAATTTTATTTTGCTTTGTCAAATACACATTAATCTAAAGAGTATTTACACTTTCCCAGGTGAATTTGGGAAAGTGGAATTACCGCCTCCCATATGGCCCTCTCCTGTCCCCCGCTATACTTACCTATAGGCGAGCGCTCCTTCACCTCCACTGGTGCAGGTGTACTATAGTACACCCGCACCCTGTACTGCCATGTAGCACAGCCCTGACCATGCTGACCAATGAGTGTTCACCATTTGCAAGCAAAATTCAAAATCCAGAGTGCAGGGTTGTGCTACAAGGCAGTACGGGGTACGTATAGTACACACGCTACCAGCGGAGGGAAAGGAGCATTCACCCAAAGGTAAGTATAGCAGGGGAGGAGAGGGGGCCAGTTTGGAGGACGGTAATTCCATTTTCGCAAATTCGCCTGGGAAAGTGGAATTACCCTTCAAAGGAAATTTTAATACTTGTTAGTGCTTTGTATGTATCCAACAGAAAGATCTGCAAGGGCAAGTGTGTAATATTTGTAGAATTCTAGTATCACCAAAATTCCATCAGTAGTAGATTAACCTATACTGTATATGTTCATATTTAAGATCCCAGATTGTTATACTAACCTTTCCAGATGTCTTGACTCCCTTCCATATGCTGAAATATACTACAGTAAAGATAAGAAGAAGACAGAGCGAGAGCTGCCAACTGATCCCTCCAAGCTCCTGTAGACCTTTTGATTTGTGTATCTGCAGCACCATTCGGCTGAAAAACAGAATGAGACCATATGAGTCTATTTACCCTGGACAACGTGCCATGGCAGCAAACCATAATTATATATAATGAGAGACAGAACTGCTCCAAAACACAGGTGCACAGATCTCAGTGGGGGCACCTTAACAACCTAACATACTAAGTACAAGTCCTCCCTTACAGTTCATCTGATTAATGCTTCCGGGGCTTGTATTGCACTGTTATGGAAGTCTCCTCATCCTCCCTCTGTCCAGATGTGGTTCTCCAAAATTAATTATATCTACATGATGGAAGACCTGACTGCTACTTTAAAAAACACTGAGGAAAAATTAAACTCTACCTGGAGCTCATGGGTATACTTCAGGTATTCTGACCGCTATCTCCGGTACATTTCCTACTGATCACCTGTGTGGTTCTGCCTTGATCATTGTATAGTGAACTGTTCCCACTGGTGCTTGTCTGCTCTGTAGTGGTGGGATATCATTTGCTCTTGGAGCAGGAACCCCCCTTTCCTTCTACATTTCAATACATATACATTCTCTACACATTAGAGAGGCGATATACTCTTTCCCATCCCTATCCCTTTACGTGGATATATTTATTTATCATTTTCAATCGTTGTTGTTGTGTTGGTATTGAAAAATTTCATATTGAATTTGTTTGCTTCCGTTGGCAATAATTTTCTGGATACGCTCACCATTCTCTGCATTTGTTTGAAAAATAGATGCCATTTCTGTTGCCCACAGTTATCTGTTCTGTTGGTTTGATTTGCCTGACTTGGATACTGGGCTGTGTATATATTGCTGTGGTGTTTGTTTTTGACTTGTTTTAAAAATCAAGAATTTAAAAAACCTAATAACATAATGGAAAGAGGAAAAAGTGCCCACCAGATTAACAGTTTATAACCAAAAAGTAGAAGGATATCCTTCTCTGTGTTTTTGAGGTTGTAAAAGTGAGGGGACCTTTAAACATATATGGTGAGACTGCCCAACAGTAAGTTTCGGGTTAAGAACATATAAGTTGGCCTACACAATATTGAGCAGAACTATCTGTAAAGATCCTGCGAGGGTGCTGCTCAATAAAAAAACAGCTGTGCTATAACAAAATACTGCCATCTGACATATATTTATTGCAGCAAAGCAGACATTGGCAAAGGTCTGGAAAAAGCCAACTATCCCCTTTGAGGAACATAAAATATGGATTTTTTGGATTTCACACAAACTACCCACAGACATTGGGTCCCTTCTATTTAATCCTCCTTATAAATTCTGACTTCCTACAGAAAAATATCTTCTTCCCTCCCATTATAGTCCTTCCCCCAACCCCCCCTCCAATGCACTCTTTTCTTTTCTACTTTTCTACTCGCTTTTATAACCTTTCCCCTCACATTTTTACCACTTCTTTTCAGTTTTCCCTCCCCTTTAATTCCACACTCCTTTAACTATGTTCACATAGAAGATACAAAGTTAGTACAGTTTCTATATTTAGATATTTATTTGCCTCGTGTTTGCTCTACTGTTCTCCAAGTTGATCTGTAACTTGGTAAACTTTCATACTAAATATACCATTGTGCTTAATTGTTATATCCCCATGTACATGGGATCTTTTTGTACTGTATTTTACTGCAAACCCACATAAAACTAATACCAATTTATTGCAACAGAAAGAAAAGTAGAGGGAACTAGTAACTATAAACCATGTCAGGTCATTAGTTGAGTGAGTCTGACCTTTGCACAAGGTAATGTATGCAACTTCCATGTAGACTCAACACTCAATCTAGTAATTTCTCTGTATGCTGCAATGGTTTAGAATAAGTATACACTTGCATAGGTTAATAATTGGTGGTTTGTCGATTAATACATTTAAGACCTTGTTTTTATTTTACTACTGTATTGTCTATTATTGTCTGTTTGCTTATAGAACTGAGCTCTGGAGAATATGTTTATGAACGTTAAACAAAATGGGCCATAATTTGAAATTAGGGCTTATTACACTCTTTTTTTTTTTAATAAATACTTGTTTTTTTAGACACAAGGTGTAGTCTGAGGATTTCTATCATTTCAGCATTTGAGAAGGAAATGTAAGGGGGTGGTTGCTATTCTCCCTTACATTGTGGCAATTTGAGGCCTTGAGGGTGGACCTTCTTTACCATAGTAGAAGCCCTACCCTTGACTGTAGGGATGGTCAATGGAGAAGAGCGCACATGTTTTGTAATACTATTCACAACAGAATGGTTATAGTAAGTTTGGTGCAGATCACTCAGAGACTCTATTACATTTGAGGTTACATCCGTCACAATGTTATGTATGTGCCTTGCAGTATGCAATGTTTAGCATTGTTCTTGTGTCTGATTGCAAACATTGTTGTGATGGCCGGGCTTTATCTATTTGCCTACGCTGACCTGACATGACATAATACCAAAACCCCTTTAGTGCGAAAAAATATAGTTTGGGAAAATATAATGGGTTTCAGTCAATCTTATTACAAACATTTTTGGATTGCTGACATATAGGGGTTGATTTACTAAAAGCAAATGGGCTGTTCACTTTGCAGTGGAATTTGCGCTTTACACAGGACGTTTCCCTTTAGTTTAGTGAATCTAAGGCGCAGCTCTGCTTACTTCCATCAACCAGTCATGTGCATTGCTCCTGATTGGGTTTTTTTTTTTGCAAAGTGAAATTTCACTAAATCCACTAAGCTAAGGCAACTTCCCCTGCAAAGTGCAAATTATTTTGCAGTGAAGGGACTCTAGAGGCTCAACTGCACGCTGCATATGCTAAATATGAAAATGAGGAAAAAATCTAACTAAAAAATCTTTTTAAGATTAAACAGATTAAAGTGAAATATGTATTTATAGAAAAAGGCTAGCGTTAACTTCCAACAAGAGAAAAAGACCACCCTCAAAGGGTTCTAGGCATTTTGTACCATTTAGGTAATTTAAAAAATATATAAATACAAACACAACAAAATCCAAGCTAAAATATATGTATAAAATCTTGTGTTACATATTGTTTCTTTTCTTTAATCAAATTATGAATGCAATGAACAGTAACGTTTAATTAACTGAGATGTTAACAGTAAATACTTGCCAAGTTCACTATTTGATTTGATCCCATGTGTATGTTTCAAGCATTCAAATAAATGCAAACAAAAGCGAATTGGTGTCAGGTTTAATCATAATACAGCTAGTTACAGTGTGTGTAGTTAATAATTTGTGTCATAATAATTGTCATGGGCACAAATGGATGTTGTGATGTAGTAATGTAATCAAAATCATAGACGTGCATGGGAAAATTCCCAAAATTCCCATATTTTCTTCTATTATTGTTCTCTCTGTTTTAAACCTTTTTTTATATCTTATCAATCTTATCATCCACTACAGGGGAAGAACAGACTCAACCAATTTAATGAAAAAACGAAACAGTAAGTTACTCGCATGAAGAAAATAACATTTTATTTCAAATGCTTTCAGATCTAAAAATCCTCTAGGCTTTCTTCTTTAACTATCCTGTATATGAAGTCACCAAGAAAATGTTTAGAAAATACGAAGACATAATATTCTAAAATATTAATCTGAAATATTTATGCTACAGCATTCTCTACTGGATTTTTCTGTTTGAAAGAAATATTCACTTCAAACATCTTAAATGTTTCTCAACTTACAGTCAGCGATATTACTGGGCAGCTTAAGTTCCCAGTTGTCCTGAAAGGAAAATCTATGTCTGCTCCACTTATTCTTCTGATCGTAACACAAGAGAAATGAAAAGCCTTGCTATATTAATACTGCTTCAGCGCCCCCACATCAATCATATCCTGTTACTTATGTCTGAAATGCTTGTTTATGTCTTATGTCTACACAGGAGCATCTTGAAACCCATCTACCCTGTGAGTGTTTTAACCTTCCCCACACTTACATGCACTTACGTGTAAAACTCCTCTGCTGGTGAGATAGAGCTGTTGATCCACGTTACACTACTGTTTTGGAAATAGTTGGTGCAGTTTTCTGTGTTCCACTCATTGTGGCAGCTGGTCCAAGGCAGTTCAGACCGGAATGAGAATATGAGGTAGTAAAGAGCCCAGGCTATAATGGTGTTGTAATAAGATGCTATATAAAGTGCTATTATACAGATAGCATAACCAATTCCTATGGGAAAAAATCATCATCAAATCAACATAATATCAATGATCAAAAATGACATTAAAATGCACCATATGCTTGCTTTCTAAATCTTATCTGCTAGTATAATGACTGGTGATGTCTTACAGGTCCCTCTACAATTATTGTACAACTAAATATGCCCGTGAAGCTCTTATTTATCCAGGTCATGGTATAGTTAGTAGTGGTTTGTTCATTCAACTGGACTTTTTTCTGTAATGTTAAAGATGTTTTGCAGTTTGTCCAAGCCATTTCTACAATTCTGAAGGTCTTCAACAATAGAGTTGGGCTCAATGTTCGAGTCGAACGTGAGTTTGACTCGAACATCGCTAGTTTTTTGTGTTCGCCGAACTATCAGGGCGTTTGGCGGGCTGTTCGCCTTTGCCCAATCAGGGCACAGATAACTGTGAGAGCCATGATTGGGCAAAGTCATGATGACTTTGCCCAATCATGGCTCACTGCTAAATCAAAGAGGCACACTATATAAGGCTGCCTACACCACAGCCCTATGTAGTGTGTTGCTGGAGTTAAAAGAGAGAGTCTACTACTATCATTGTTCTATCATTGTACTATCAGCGTTCTATTAGTGTACTATAGCTATATTATGTACTGTTATGTACTAATATCATGTATTATACTATTATGTATTATGTACTATTATGTACTATTATAGCAGTCTATTATAGCAGTCTATAATTGCAGTCTACTATAGCAGTCAGTCATAGTAGTCTATTATAGCAGTCTATAATTGCAGTCTACTATAACAGTCAGTCTATTATTGCAGTCTATTATAGCAATCGATTATAACAATCTGTTAGCAGTCGATTAGTGCATTCTATTGCAATACTCATCATGTCTGAAAGGCCAACAAGGAGAGGCAGACAGCAACAATAAGAGAGCAAGCAGCCTCTGTGTCCGCAGGCAAAAGTCGTGGTCGTGGACATGGTGCATCCTCTGCAGGCAGGGCACGCTTGTCCTTTGTTGGCTCAGAGGTTGAGGAAAGAAGTAACATGAGCCTAGAGAGAGGGGGTGCCAATGATGGACAACAAACTGGCACTCATACTCCATCAGCCACAGCATACTGCCAGGTTGGCTCCAGTGATGAGGACAGAGGCCTGATCGAACAGAGGAGGAAAGTGAGGAGGAGGCACAACCGCAACGACGCAGGATGTCATCCAGGGGCAGCCATAAGAGCAGTCACCCTATTGCATCAGGCGGCAGAGCTGCACAGGTGCAGGGCGCTGTTGTCTTCCAGCACACTTCCAGGAACGCAGCTGTGTGGGAGTTTTTCATCATATGTGCAGCAGACCGCAGCATTGCTATTTGCAATCTGTTCCCCCCTCGGATCAAGCATGGCAAGAACATCAACTTGGGTACCACGTGCTTGAAGAGACATCTGACCACCTGCCACGCAGCCCATTATTTTGATAATTGTATGGTTTTACGTGTTTGGTTCTGGTTGGATTTCTTTTATTTTAGAAATAACATGGACATATGATTTGTCTATGATTGATGTAGCTGTTGCTGACTCTATACATGTTTTTCTGTGTCTTTTGATTATAAGTTATATATAAATCGCTAACTTTCAAGAAAATCTAAAATTAATCTGCCCCTTCCACCTTTCATATCTGCATATTTTGACATGCGCTTTCCCCTGAAAGTAGCCTCATGACATGTTCAGCTAATTTTGTGAAAGGGTAACTTTATTTGCTCTTTTCAGCTCTTGATGACAGAACCACACATTGTTATTACTTCAGAGACAAAAAGACTTACCTTTAAATAATGGACATATTTTTCTCCATACAGAAATACAGCCACTTCTGTGATACTGACCCAGTGCCAGCTCCATATAAAACAGAGGAATTCCACCAAACACAGCCATAATCACATAAGGAATGAGAAAAGCTCCTGAAATGTCAAAGTTGTAAAGAAATTTAGCTTCAGTTCAGCCTTTTTTCTATATACCGACAACAGTTTCTATTTCTTCTTTACAAAGAAGTAACATGGTCACTTAGAATCCCCCAAATTCCTAATTGAAATATCCATATGTGTATATGCACATTCTTTAGACTCTTGGCGCCCAACCTGCGGCTCATGGGGTGCATGCAACTCTTTGACGCTTATTGTGTGGCCATCAGAGATCCCACAGACAACAGTCTGTATTTTGGTGTTAATTCAAGCCAGTGACAGTAAATATTCTTTTGACTGACTGGTTTGGTTTATTTATTTATTTCCTACATTATTATTTTTTTCTGCGCTGTCCATCCCTTTTCACTCTTTGTGTTATATTCCTCTGATCTTTTATAATAAATCTTGCCGACAGAAATATTAGATGTGGCACAAGTAATTTTTAGGAGGGCTGTAGGGAGCATAAATGTGGGAGTATTGAATGGCAAGGAGGCTTTAATAGCAGTGATATCTAGCAGCCTCATGTAATTTGTTTCCAATGAACTGGGACTGAGGTGAGCTTGGTGAAAAATTATAGAAATCACTTCACAACAGGACAACTCTGCTTGAACAAATAGACCCAAAACAATGATGCAAACATAGCATGCTCCTTAGTGTCCTTGTGACTGCAGGGCATTGAGAGTAGTGATCAGTAAACGTATTTGCCTAAAGTAAGACTTGATCTGCAGCAGTCAGTTGATCTGATACTTTTTCTCTGCAATATTTATTTATTTCTTAAAGGAGAATTATGAGGAGAATGAAATACACTCATCCCCACTATTAGAGCTGACGTGTGACACTAAAGCTGTCACACATCGACTCTATAGATCGAGGACTAAGGTTGGGCCATAGTTTTCCTTTAATTTTATTATTTAAACTATTTAAAACTATTGAGAAAAGAACAGGTAATGATACCAAATGGAGCAGCGGAGCATAGGAATACTGTGCAAAAGACTGGGCGGACAATTTTCAAATTTTCCCCTATGCGCTATATGTACCTACATTTACAGATTTGTATTGATCCTTACCATCTTGTCTTGAATTGTATTGTGATTGTAATGTCTGCCCTATATTGTAAAGCGCTGCGCAAACTGTTGGCGCTATATAAATCCTAAAGAACATTGTACAAATATGCTGAAGTATTTAGAAATCCTACTTAGCAAGGGCAAAGCCGTATAAGTAAAAGGTTACAACACAATGCAGAGAAATTACTGACAAGCATAACACAATTTACTGAAATCAATAGCAGCAGAAATAAGGTATAGCATGACAACATTGTAACATGCTATAACGACTGCCAATTATATTATCTAAAGTTTATCATCAAAATACTTTGTGTTACCGTATGAAGTATAGTCTGCTCTCTGCACACTCCATTTACTTTACTGTAATCCTCTTATTATTTATACAATCGCTATTAATGTTAAAAATAGATTTATAAATACACTGCCTAAGAGTATGAGGCTACCCCATCTACAAGATTCAACAGTCTGTATTTACCTAGTTACCAATCTGAACTAGGTGAAATCTGGCCCATGAGCTCTGCAAACAGGGAGCCACTAGCCTCTTCATGTTGCATATTTATTTAACAGTGAGATAGTAACAGTATATTATTGGCTACCCCCACTTAATTGAAGCTTACTGTACTTAGCCTTGAAGAAGCTCCTCTGACCATTTTTAACAAATTTCCTGCACAGATTTATAGAAGATTTTGCTTAATTGATAATAAGGATGAAAGGGAGATTGAACAACTCACTAATGTCCTCTAGGTGATGCCATCCATTAGACATGTGCACCAGCAAAAAATTTGTTTAGTTTTGTTTTGATTCGGATTTTGCATTATTTTGTTTTTTGGATTCGGGTCCGAAATTAAATTAGTTTCGGAATTCGGATTCGGACGAAATTAGTTAGCGGTAGTCCGGTCGAAATTTCATTTTTTGGATGAAATTTCGTTTTTTAGTGGTAGTCTGGTCGAAATTTCGTTTTTGGACGAAATTTCGCTGCAGCAAAATGACATTAGGAAAAATGTTTGTTTTTTTTTAGTTTGCAGAAGATGAAAAAAAAAAGTTCATACCAGACCCTTTAGGTCTGGTAGGAATGTTAGGAGGGACCCCCGCCCCTGCACCTTACCAGGCCATGTGCCTGGTAAATAAGGGGGCACCCAGGTGCCACCCACCCCCTGTGAATGAGTAAGGGGTACTTGTACCCCTACCCATTAACTAAAGGGTTAAATCGTAAATAGTGAAAAGTCCAGACTTGATAAAATCCTTTAATCGAATGCTATTCGGGTCTGTGAGCCGAGGTGTCATATGAAAAGCATTATCGCACCTCGGCTCACAGACCCGAATAGCATTCGGAAACTATGATTAGTATTCGGGAGTTCCCGATTGCTATGTAGCATTTGACAGCTGAGAATGTCAAATGGGCGGAGCGAGCTACATAGAATCTGTTTACTTTCGGGCTGAATGCCATTTTGCTGCAAATTTTCATCGGGATCGGATGGTGGTCGTGCGGCAGGACTTTTTTTTATTGCGGCGGGGGTCGTGCATCGTGATTGACACTGGATTACATGGATGGAGCCATTTTTTTTTTAAATGAAAGGGATAGTCAAAAATGTACTCTGCTTTTTTTTTTCAATTAAAGGATTTTATCAAAAGTCTGGACTTTTTACTAACTATTTCATTTAACCCATTAGTGAATGGGTAGGGGTATAAGTACCCCTTACTCATTCACAAGGGGGGGGGCGGCATCTGGGTGCCCCCTTATTTAAAGGGGTACCCCCGATGCAAAAAGGCCCCCTTGCCCGCAGACCCCCACAACCACCGGGTCAGGGTTGTGGGGAAGAGGCCCTTGTTCTCATAGACATGACCTCCCAATGCTGAGGGCACGTAGCCTGGTAAGGCGCAGGGAGGGCGCTTAATCGCCCCCCCCCTTTTCTGCCCTGCCGGGCCAGTGCCCGGATCAAGGGTCTGGTAGGACTGTTAGGGGGGACCCCACGTTTTTCTCCCCATTTTTTGGGGCTGGGGTTCCCCCTTAAAATTCCTACCAGACCTAAAGGGTCTGGTAGGGATTTTGGGGGGAACCCCACGCACTTTTTTGTGTGTTTTTACCCCGGGGTTGGGGGGGTCCTCCTAACATTCCTACCAGACCTAAAGGGTCTTGTATGAATTGGGGGAACCTCACGCTTTTTTTTTCATCTTCTGCAAACTAAAAAAAAAATAAAAAATTTAAATTTTTTTTTTTCCTAAAGACATTTTGCTGCGAAATTTCGATGTTTCTGCTTGAAAATAATATCATAAGTGATAGTCAGCACGGATTCACGAAAGACAGAAGTTGTCAAACAAACCTACTTTCTTTTTTATGAGGAAGTGAGTAATACATTGGACAGAGGAATGGCTGTGGATATAGCATACTTGGACTTTGCAAAAGCGTTTGACACAGTTCCCCACATGCGGCTAATGTATAAGTTAAGGTCAGTAGGTATCGAGCATTCCATCTGTAATTGGGTAGAAAACTGGCTTAAAGACCGTATTCAGAGAGTGGTGATCAATGATTCATACTCTGAATGGTCTGAGGTTGTTAGTGGTGTTCCCCAAGGTTCAGTGTTGGGCCCTTTACTGTTTAACCTATTTATAAATGACATCGAATTGGGGTTTCAAAGTACTATTTCTGTGTTTGCAGATGACACCAAGTTATGTAGTGGAATACAGTAATTACAGGATGTCTCCAACTTACAAGCAGATCTGAGTGCTCTGTGTGATTGGGCAACTATTTGGCAAATTAGGTTTAATGTTGATAAATGTAAAGTTCTGCACTTGGGGACTAAAAACATGCATGCGTCATATACTCTAGGGGGGGAGTATGTTTGGGGAGTCAATGATGGAGAAAGATCTGGGTGTTCTGGTAGATCATAGACTCAATAATAGCATGCAATGTCAAGCTGCAGTTTCTAAAGCAAGCAAACTACTTTCTTGTATTAAGAGGGGTCTAGACTCCAGAGATAGAGACATAATCCTGCCCCTGTACAAAGCATTAGTAAGACCTCATCTGGAATATGCAGTTCAGTTTTGGGCACCAGTTTACAAAAAGGATATTGTGGAACTGGAGAAAATGCAGCGAAGGGCGACTAAACTTGTATGCCCACAATTGGGTAATTGTGGGCATAGTGTTCTGTTTAGGCTTTTCTTCTTTTTTTTTCTCCATATCTCTATAGGTTGAACTCGATGGACTTGTGTCTTTTTTCAACCTAACTAACTATGTAACTATGTAAAACTTCTAAACACTTAGGGCTTGTTCACACACCATCAAAAACGCTTGCAAAATTCCTTGCAAGTAAGGGTAGGTAAAGTGATGGGAGGGTAAAGTGATGTAATAAAGGAAAGTGATCCGCAGTCATGTGCGTTTGTTAAATGCACCAAAAATGCACAGTGACTTCAATGCTTTTAAATGAGGCTAGTTCACACCATTGCATTCAGTTCCAGAGCTTTCAAAAAAGTACAGCAGCATACTTTTTTCTGCACCAGCACACATGTAAACACGCATAAACACACCAGAACCCAATTTAAAACAAAATTTAGAAAACGCACCAGAACGCATAAAACATGTGCATAAATGCGCATGCAGAAACGCATCTGGATTGTGCAGATTAAGGTGTTCACGGTAGTGCATTGTGGTAATGCGTGTCACAATGCACTACAAGGGCCCTGACACTTGATACCGCTCTGCACGATCTCTAACCCAAACGATGTATTTTGCTACTGGGTGAGTTACACTTATATGTGCTGTTGGGAGTCACTGATGGTGCAATAGATATGGCTGGTATTTACATCATTTTGCACACGTCCTTTTCAAATACTTAACGGCAGGTGTGACGTCATACCGATGCCCTAGGTGGATGGGAGTGGTTTCACAGCACTCAGTTGATTGGTATGTCTAGGTATATATTGTTGTATGTCTTTCACTTCACTGTTATCTCTAAAGGCCGTGACACACTGCAGACGAAGCAGCGCGGAGCAGTGGCGTGCTGCCTTTGCGAGCAGTGTGTCATGTAATTTTCTTCTGGGCACCTCAGCTGGCGAGAGCTCGCGGAGCTGAGCGTGACGAGATGAACAATTTCAACTTCAGCCAATCGGCTCGCGCGTATAAACCGGCGCGACGGGATGCGACGTCTGGCCGGTTGTTAAGCACGAGCCGATTGGCTGAAGGTGCAGTCAATCATCTGACTGCACTCAGCTCACACACTGCATGCAAAGCTCCGTGCCGGATAGCTTTGCTTCGCTCTGCACGGCTTCGCGTGCAGTGTGTCACGGCCTTAAGCCTGATGAAGGGGACCCTGCGAGGCCCCGAAAGCGCTTGCCAATGAGATACAGCTATTGGCAATAAAATATTTTGCTTTTTCAACTTATGGTGTGCTGGTGACATTTTTCTATTGACAATGCACTACAACACACCATTTATTAAAATATAGAATTAAAAATGTTTTGTTCAATGTTCTGTTCAATAAGTGCAAAAAATACCTGTTGATTTTGCCAGAAATTGTTTAAGCTGGTGGTGCACGTTACCTGGGGAAGGGGAGGAGGGAGCAGGGGATGCTGGTGGTGAACATTACCTCTGGCTCCAGCTAAATTATAGGGACGGCCCTGCTTCTTTAATCAGCTAGAGACAGTCGTCAACACCTCACAGAGCCCAACAATATTGTTGGTATAAAACTTGTTGCAGTCTGGGCTTATTCAAACAATGTTTGACCTGTATATGTACACTGCATTGGGTTACTATTTATTATCAATGGTACTCAAATGCGCATACATGGCATAAACCAACATACCTGAGGAGCCTCTTATTGCACAGGGAGATCTCCATACGAGAAGGTCCCAATCCTTCACTCTATTTATCATTTGTGTGCCACTGTCAATGATGGGCAAGGTTAGTTGCAGGTCCCCACACTGTGTACAACTCTGTGAGGACTGGCACTTGGGGTGATATCTCCCTGTCTATGAACAGCCTTAAGAGAAACCTGTGCTGAAAGAAATGCAGACTATCATTGCAGACCTCCTTGTGAAAATGCTTTTCATCTAGTTGTCTATGGCCTCGACAAATACAAACAAAGAAAACTTCAATGGCACAACAGCGGGAATAGCCTGGTATTCAATCTTCAGTGATGAGACATCTCTGAGTTTTATCCTCAGTAAGCATGCTACCCAATCTGAATGTTGGGGTGCAGGAGACTAAATATGCTTTTAAGTCTGCTGAGGCTGGATTTACACTTGTGTGTTGTGGTAAAGCACGGTAAAACATAGCTTTTACCCTGAGTTACTGCAGCACACGTTAAAGAATGGAACTATATGCACTGCAGTGCATTGTGGCGAACTGTGCTGACAACATTTTTTTTGTGTGTTAAGGTGTGCTGCCTGCCCAGTCCATAGAAATGGGCTGCCAAAATTCAGCACACCTCAATGCAGGAAAATGTGTGAGTTAAAGCATGCACAAGTGTGAAGGGGTCCTCTGTTGCTTAAGTTGCAAATAAAATATGTGTCTGTAAAGAACATACAGTAGCAAATACTTACCACATCTCATGCCTGTGCTGCTAAAAGCTGCTCTGATGAAGAAAAGTCAGGAGATCAGCATTCTTCTCTTTATGGAAAGTGGCGTATAACAGCACGAGCCGTCGGCTGGGTAAATATTTATCTTCTTAACAGGTTCATATTTTAGTTGCAACTTTATTTATTCATTCTTCCGTTATTAAGATTTTTATTAGATACAAAGGGCAAAAGTATATGTATATATCTGAACTCTGCATTACTTACTATTGAACTGTGCATTACCTCCTTCTGAACTCTGTGTTACTTACTACTGAACACTGCATCACCTGTTACTGAACTCTGCATTACTTACTACTGAATTCTGCATTGCCTCCTTCTGAACTCTGTGTTACTTACTACTAAACTCTGCATTACCTGTTACTGAACTCTGTATTACCTGTTACTGTTACTGAACTCTGCATTACCTGTTACTGAACTCTGCATTACCTGTTACTGAACTCTGCATTACCTGTTACTGAACTCTGCATTACTTACTACTGAATTCTGCATTGCCTCCTTCTGAACTCTGTGTTACTTACTACTAAACTCTGCATTACCTGTTACTGAACTCTGCATTACCTGTTACTGAACTCTGCATTACCTGTTACTGAACTCTGCATTACCTGTTACTGAACTCTGCATTACCTGTTACTGAACTCTGTATTACCTGTTACTGAACTCTGCATTACCTGTTACAATCACATTAAACATTACTGAAGCTGAAAAAGTTGGATACACTGATATTTTTACAGTGACAGTTGCACCAATGCTGGGGCTTGTTTTACTCCCACACCATGAAATGACACACACTTTATAGGCAATGCCAACAATTGTTCAGAAGGCATCCCTTCTAACTATGAATGCATATCTTGGTGTCTCTTCTTTGAAATCTGCTTGTTTTGTCTTTATACCTTCAATGTCTGCCTACTGTTTTAAAAGTCTGTAACCAACTGTTTGAGGGCATGTTAAAACTAGGGATGTGATTTGTGGGCGTGGTTACAAATAGGTTATGATTTGTGGGTGTGGTTTAAAAGTGGGCATGGTCAGTAGGCTGTCCCTGGATTTTATTTTGAAAATCTGGTAACCCTTTACAAATGTTTTTAGCAGGTCATCAGTGGTAGTATCTCTCAAGGTAGGTATTCTTTAAGTAACTGAATATATCATTTGCCCCTCCCTTTTAGATTGTAAGCCCTCACGGACAGGGCCCTCCTTGCCATCTTGTCTTGATGGTTTTGTGATTGTAATGTCTTCTTTATATTGTAAAGCGCTGCGCAAACCGTTGGCGCTATCTAGAGTTATGTTTTATTTCGCTTTCACATTATTTAGGGTTATAATTCTAAGTTTTGATTTTCATATATACAGTAGACTTGTGGCTTCCTTTTATACCAGGAATTGTGATCAGGATCCCTGCTGATTCTAAAATCAAGCAGCCACACACAGAGTCTGATCTTGCAACCTTTCTGAGAAGACTAACAGCCTTTCAGTGAGAGAGGGGAAAAGAACTGGGGGCTCATTTATAAAAAGTACGCCCGTTACACAGTATAACATAGTTAATTGATATACCTGTCAACGCAATGTAGGAATGTTAGTACAGTGTGGACCTAACTTAAAAAAATTAACCCTTTAATGTGTGTGTAATAAGGCAGCACAGTGGTTTAGTGGTTAGCACTTCCACTTTGCAGCACTGGGGTCCCCATTTTAAATCCTGGCCAGGACACTATCTGCATGGAGTTTGCATGTTCACCCTGTACTTGTGTGGGTTTCCTGCAGGTATTCCAGTTTACTCCCACACTCCAAAAGACATGCAGGTAGGTTAATTGGCTCCAGTCAAAATTGGTCCTTGTATGCATGTATGTGAGATAGGGACCTTAGATTGTAAGCTCCTTGAGGGCAGGGACTGATGTGAATGTACAGAGTGTAACGTGCAGCGTAATTCCATTAGGACAGACCACTAAGAAAAACCTGGAATCGGCCATCTTGCCTGATTTAACAAAACATCTAAAAGGTAAGAAATGTTTTTAAAAGCTTGTGCTTTAAAGCATATCAAAAACCAAACATACATAGAAATCTCAGATTTGGTAGCTGCATTAGTTTAATATTTTCAGGCTTTTTCCCTTTATTGTCACCTAGTGATCCTGCCAGTGACACACTTCCTGTTCTAGGGTACTTTCTTTACTCTTTCTATAGAGAAGCTGTGTTGTCACCCTAGGTTGCTCTTCTGATTTGAGCTCTCCTCATCACCAATATATAGGGAGGATTGGTGATATAGTTGACAGAATATCGCTGAAAAAGCGAATTATAATGTTTGAGATATTAGTTCTACGCACAATAATTTACAAGGGCTCAGGGATTATGGCAGGAATAACATGTATTTTTCTGTACTTGGAGAAAATGTACTTAGCCTGAAAAAAAGAAAACTAAAACAGCCACCACATCACAAGCCAACCAATTCTAGCAGCTCTTAATCTGTAGGGTCCCAATTGAACAAGTTTTCCAGTTTTTACTGATAGTTGAAAACCACTTAACCTGGAGGTCCCTCTGCAGTAAAATAATAATCACCAATTTTCCAAAAAATTCCCCGTTAAATAAGTAAGACTATTTGGAATACTGACCTCCTCCATTTTGGTAACAGATATAAGGAAACCTCCATACATTGCCCAGATCCACTGCATACCCAATAACAGATAAGAGAAAGTCTACTTTTTTGCTCCATGTCTCTCTTTCCCCTGTCTCTCTTTGCAAGTGATGCACCTCGGCCATGCAGGATGGAATGACAGTAAGAGTCGGGGTTGAGGTTTCGTCTATTCCATTTCTGGTGCCATTGCAAGGGGCATCAGGACTTTGTACTGCTAAGTATTTATTAGACATGTGCCCAAGGTCTGCCCTCTCTCCCGGGCAGGGGTGCACCTTGTTGTGCTCTTCAGACAGTCGTAGTGATGGCTTGCAGTTTCTCAGCAGCAGACCATCCTTTTTGCATTCTGACCTGGTCTTGCATGTCAAAGGCTCTTTCTCAGAACCCGAGGATGGGCTCTCGGTGCAAGCTGGTTTTCTCTCCATCCTGTTGGTTATGTAGAGATTTAGCTGGAGCCCATTTGGTACTATGTAGAAGCTGTGTATCCTTTATACGATGTTCTCAGAAGTAAGATCTTCCAGTTTTGACCCTGCAGAAATATAAATTAAGCATCACTCGAGGACTCAACAATAAATCAGAACACTGATGCATTAAGATAACATTGTTTTAAAGTAAAGATCTACTGAAATTGCAATATACAACTAATAACACTTATTTACTTTCTGTTAAGTGGGATTATTCTTGTGTCAATTCCCAACTCCACTACAATTTCATAGGTTAGCAGCACAGCTTCCACACAACAAAGACAGGAAACATGCATCGAATGGTGTGTTTTAGTTGTAGTTTAGTAGCTTCAGTGGTTCCACACAACAGCAAAACTGTAAGTGTCTGGGACACCATAAGAAATGGAGTTGATCTACTAAAAGCAAATAGGCTGTTTACTTTGCAAGGGAATTTGTACTTGCAAGGGAATATTCCCTTAGCTTAATGACTAAGGGGCAGATCTGCTGACATCCATCATCCAATCATGTGCAAGAAAATTTTTTATTTTTTATTTGCCTTCCTTGTAATTGGGTAATCTTTGCAAAGTTAATTTTCACCACATTCATAAAGATAAATGAAGATTCTCTTTGCATTTAGAAAATCAACCCCAAAAAGTTGCATTCACTAGAAAGGTCGTAGCAGGGAAACTTTAGAAATAAATATTATCTTGCTTGGTTCTACTATAATAAGTTAATTTAATGAACAATGAAATTCTCTTTGATGCTGATTGTGAAATTTTGCCATACCATCTTTGCACATGCAAGGTGAACACAAGTGGAAGAAATGTGTGGTACTAAAGCTGCTATTCTCATGAATAGAAGAGTAAACAATAGGTAGACTCCTTGGCCACAAGGCTTGTATTTCTAGCACATGCATAGCCAAAACGTTCTTTTCTACGATTTGGATAAAGCAGTGAAAGGTTTAAGCCCCTGTTCATTTTCTTGCCATCCTTGTCCTGTTAGGGAGACTTTTCATCACTTCCTGACCCAGGAACACAACAGGTAACGTGAGGAAACCTTACTGCTTCTTCTAATCACAACTGGAATGTTCGTGGTTTTCCATCACTTTCTGTCTTATTAATGTTCATCAGGACACTTAGAGGGGAATCTAGCTAGCAGGGACACAGACAGCAGTAAAGAACTTAACAGGTGGTTTAATCCTCCCCAACTCTATCCAAAACTATAAAAATACATTTTGGCTACAGATGTACAGTACATTAAAGGTTATGATGCTGAAGCCATGTATAACTTCTGTTGCTATTTTATACAGGACCCCCCATACGCCACAACCACATGTGTATTAATGGAAGGAATTAAGCCAGGAAACTGGTGTGGGAGGTTGAGCACCCAGTAAAGCAACTGAGCCAATTAATAAAGAGCAGAAGTTATGGCTATATGTTATTTCAGCTTCAGGAGATGTAACCATTCCCATCATCTCCTGCACCCCACTACTTTACATTTTTGGTGCTATATTTACCAACAAGTGTCTAGAAGTGACCAGACGAGGCAACAACAAAACAAAAATAAAGCATATACATGTGCTAAAATGCTGTCCACTCTTTATGGTAAATAGAGCCTTGGCTACCATTTCTTTAAAGCTCTCTCCTTTTCACAATTTATACTCCTATAATTCCAAAATAAATATTTTATATTTACAACCTGGCTATGTCTGGGATCTATCAATAAATCCTTAAGAAGCTACATCTGGGCATCCCATTCATTTCCTTCTGCTAACTACAACATGGCACCAGCTTCAGATATTACCTGTGGCTTGTTTTATTACATCCTGTGAAAGCCCGAAAAATATCAATCTACTAGCCAAAGATAGGCAAAAACAAATCACTGCCAGGCTGCCTTTATCTATGTAAACAAGTCCCTATAATTTTCAAACTGTGATCTGAAATTCAATCATGGCTAAATGTATGCAAGTTAAAGGAGAACTATGAGATGAGTGATTTCCACTCACCTCATAGTTCTAGCCGACCTGTGACAATGAAACTGTCACAGGTCGGCTCAGTAGATCGGGAGGTGAGCGAACACATACCGGTGTTCGCTCACTTCTCGATCCTGTCACGGCTCTCTGCCGTGACAGGGGGAGGGGCTGGATTCCCCTCTCCCCGCTCCGATCTGCCAGCGCTGACTGGCGGAACGGACGGGGGAGGGGGCGGGTACAGCTGGCTCTGCCTCTAGATAGGCAGAGCCAGCTGTCACTCACACAGCTGGGCGGATCCCGTCATCTACGTCGGGATCCGCTCCGGCGTCTCAGTATACCGCGAGCTGTAGCTCGCGGTATACTGAGCTTAGGGTAACGGGAGGACGCTAGTTTGTGTCCTCCCGTTACCCTAAGGAGAACTATGGGGAAAAACACTGACCCCATAGTTCTCCTTTAAAGGCAAAATAAGGGCTTAAAAAACCACTGTCCCATTAGTGGTTACATAGAGCAGGTAGTACATACTGTTCCCTGCCTAATGAAAAACATACATCTTTTAATAGGACATAAAAGGGGCAGTTACATAAATGAATGTGTTTCTTCCGGGTACTGTAGCTGAAGAGTTGTTTACACAGGATGTTGCTATTAGATGAACTAAGAATTTGCTTTAGGGCTCAATTTCATGTAAGATTTTAATCAACCGTTAGCAAGATATTTAACTGCTTGTTGACAATTGCTTCATTGGTAGACAATGGTTTTAGTTTTAAGAGCTGTCGACAAGTTGTTTAATTACCATGTTGCAAGTAATCAATATCTTATATGTAGATAAACCTTTCTGATAAAAACTGATATATCAACTGATATCTACGCAGAGGTGGGAACCAATGAACACATAAAGGATAAAAGAAGAAAATGGAAACAAGGTGGCATATAAATAAATCCTGATAATAATAATAATCAACATATAAAGCTATCTGCATTTTTCTGTACAGAAAAGTAAGATCAACATTAAAGGAGAACTATGTGGTTAAGGCTTTTCCCCATAGTTCTTCTTAGGGTAACGGGAGGACACAAACTAGCGTACTCCCGTCACCCTAAGCTCAGCTACAGCTCGCAGATTACTGAGACGCCACAGTATACCGCGAGCTACTGCTCGCGGTATACTGACACGCCGCAGCTGAAGCGGATCCAGACAATTATGTCTGGATCCGCCCAGCTGCGTGAGTGACAGCTGGCTCTGTCTATCTAGAGGCAGAGCCAGTTGTACCCGCCCCCTCCCCCGTCCGATCCGCCAGTCAGCGCTGGAGGATTGGAGCGGGGAGGGGGGAATCCAGCCCCTCCTCTGTCACGGCTCTCTGCCGTGGCAGGATCGAGAGGTGAGCGAATGCCGGTATGTGTTCGCTCATTCTCGATCTACTGAGCTGACCTGTGACAGTCTCATTGTCACAGGTCGGCTAGAACTATGAGGTGAGTGAAAAACACTCACCTCATAGTTCTCCTTTAACGTTTAATTTTGGTAGCGAAAATAGATAAAAACATATGCATGCTTCTAGCCAGACTTTAGAGGTAAAGTGTATAATATTGCATATTACCAGTGACAAGTGGTGGCTGCATTACTTTTCTTTTTTAAGGCTTTTTCCTTTATTGTAGGCTAGTGATTCTGCCTGTAACACACTTTCTGTACTAGGATGACAAAACTCACTCATTGCACTGTATCTACAGAGGGGCAGTGTTGTCACCCCAAACTGGAAGTGATTCAGTACTACAGAACACCTTATTACTCGTAACTGTCCCTCATTTGGAAAGACTAAAGCTCATTTGGAACCAAACCCCTCTGTCCATCTTTCCTCTTTAGTTGTCCCTCTTTTTGGTCTGATGTACAGATATCTATGAAAATTTTCTAGTTAACTATCAAAAGCGTTATCTAAAGTAAAACCTTCATACTATCTCTTAATTATCTTGTTTAATATATCAAAAAGCCAGTATAAAGAAAAAGTAATGGTAAAAAAAAAAAATTCTTTGTTTTGAGAAACTGACCCCATGTCCGACTTCAAAGCCTTGCAACATTCTCTTCTTAATTTTATTTGGAATAATTCTAGACATAGGATGCCCAAACGCATATTGATGGCCTCCAAGTCACAAGGTGGCCTAGGTTTTCTGGACATCTTTAAATATTATCAGGAAGCTCACCTTCGCCATCTGGCCTCCTGGTCTTCTTCCGACCCCCCGAACCGCTGGACAGAGATAAAGGGGGTGATTTACTAACCTAAACACACACCCACACCAGGTGTGTGTGATTTTCACACAGCAAAACGTATTTATCAACCAAAAAGTCTCTAAAAGCATATTTCCACTAATGCCATATATGGAAAAATCATGCACATGATGCATATATAATGCTGCTTCACAGTTTAGACAAAAATGTTTAGCTCATGCCTTTACATTCCTTGCATTCATCAACGCAAGCAACATAACATAGAGCTAATTTACACCACATTACCTTGCAATTCATTGCAGGGCTTTGCACAACACACCTGCTGGGTGTGTACACACTACAAAGGTGTTTCGATTCCTCCCATAGATCATGCTGGGAGGGAACACACTACAGAGGTGTATACACGTTCGTGGTGTGTTTAAAAGGTTAGTAAATCAACCCCAAAGAGTCTCTGGATTACCCCCCGTTCATTTCAACTCCCTCTGGCCTGCGCCGATGTCTAAAGACATTTGGCATTATGCTAGGGCTAGATTCAATTTGAACTCTCCCACTACACCATCCATCCCAGACCATTATACAGCCCTCACTCTGGCCAATAGTTCCTTATTTCACTTTAAGGATATTATACATAAGATAGACAGGACTCTCTTACCCTTTGCTGATCTACACATGAGATTTAAGCTACCATTGAGATCCCTCTTTACGTATCTTCAAATCAAACACTATGCATATTCCGTTTCCACTGCCTTAACCTTCTCCCCAATGACCCCGTTTAAGAGAATGTGCTTGGACGGACCT